TTCCTATTTGGGGAAGACATTAAGGACCGAAGGCTTCTCGGGTCCAAACCATCCACATCACCTATAAGTTAGCTTTATTTCTATCTGTTTAGTTTTAGCGCGAACAGGACCATATCTTTCTTTAACCGAGAATGGGTGCAGACTGGCTTTGAGCACTTGGTCGGGTAAGAATTGTTGATGAACAGGGGGTGTGGAGATCATAGGTTGTTGACAAGAATTTAAGAAAACAATTATCACAATTCAGAAGTGCATGGCAAAATCAAGATTGCAAGGCATAATAAAAAAAAAAAAAAAACTATGGAATATTTTTATGTGAAAATTAGAATATATTTACACCGTATCTGACCAATCAGTGAGAATACCACACTTGGAAAGATGGGACCCATGAAGATGACCCCCTGGAAAGTCACAGTCGACTGCATCTTGCAGATCACCATCAAAAGGGAAAGTCCTCGGCACCTAGGATTGCCGATCGTGAACGAAAGACTCGTTTCACCTAGCATTTCTCACAAGTACACGTGGAACCACTACAGACAATGTCCATAGTCTCACATCAAAATTTCACTCAAGATGCACACCTCCCAAAATCTATCAGAATGGGCACAAGTCCCAAAAAGAAGGTACCTGCAACATTTGGCAAGCCTACCATTTATTTTCTCCGTACTTATTCTAAATTAAGCCGAAAGTGACAACATCATTAAGTTGGGCCCAAAAATGTTGAACCATTTTTCAACATCAATAGAATATATTAACAACAAATCTATTTATTTATTTATTGTTGAAATGAATACAACAATTGCAGTCTAATTTTCCATCCAATTCCCCAACTACATTTTTTTTAAAAGGAAAATTGTTGCAATGGTCCCTCGACTAAGACCCAACTTTACTTTTCGTCCCTCACGTCGCAAAATTGTTATGGAGGTGTTTCAATTAGATATCGCATTGCACCACTAGTCTTTTCCGTCAATTCTGTTGTTTTTTTTTTTGGGTCAAAATTGATCACAAGTCAGGCACACGATAGATATTTTAGGGATAAATAAGACTTTTACGTAGCCACCACCTCCGTTTACCATCCTTTCTCCCGATTTCTCTCTCTTTCCCGTCTCTCTTCTGTTAGGAGTATTTGTCCCACATTGAAATGTTAAGGGACCTAGCCTGGGTTTATAAGGAGTTGAGCTACTCCTCCCATTGCCAATTGGTTTTGGGGTGGAACCTCAACTTCCTTCACGGTATCAAAGCAAGGCTTCACGTGTTGGGCCCAACGGCCACACGTGTTCCCACGTCACCCAATATGTGTTGTCCACGTATTAGGCTTGAAAGTTCGCCACACGTGCAGGGGCATGTTGAGAGTATTTGTCCCACATTGAAATGTTAATGGACTTAGGGTTTATAAGGAGTTTGGCTACTCCTCCCATTGCCAATTGGTTTTGGGATGGAACCTCAACTTCATTCATCTTCAAATGTACCTGGCGCACCCCAACCACCATTCTGGCAAATTAAACCTAAGCAACCCAAACCCATCATTCCCACCACCTCATACCTTGCTCCTTTTCCCTCACTGCGCACACCACCCCATCCCTAAAAATTCTCAGCACACCCAACCTCTTCTTTTCCTCCCCAAATTCAACAATTTTTCCCAATCCAAGACAAATTCAACAATATTTTCCCAAATCCAACACAGTTCAAGGTCAAGGAGGAAGGACCCATCTAACAAACTGAGGGTTGATCCATTTTTTGTAGTAATAAATTGGGTTTTTTTTTCTTCTTCTTTTCCATAGGAAGGTAGTTCAAGGTTGAAGATAAGAGCGTCTCCAAGGGAGATGTCAAATACCAAACATCAAATTTAAATTTGATGGCTGATGTGGCAATTTGACATTTACATAGTTTTAAATCCACCCAATATGTCAAATAAATAATTATTGTAATAGTCAAATCATTTAAGATAAAGAAGAAAAAAAAAAAAGGAAAATAATAAATGAAAGTAACAGACAGCTATCTTTAAAAAATAATAAAATACTCATTTGACATCTTGCTTTTGAGATGTCAAAAATAACATCTCAACCTCCAGTCTTCATTCCACATCAGCTTTGACAATTCGGTTGGAGTAATGTGAGATGTTATTTCTAGTCATTAAATGTCTATATGACACTTTTGACACATCGGTTGGAGATACTCTTAAGGGGTTATGGGTTGAGAATCACTAGATTTTTCTTGCCCTCTCACCTCTGAACTTGGAGAGGCTAAGATCGAATTGGATTAATAGGAAAACAGAGAATCCTTTCCATTTCGTTGCCTTAGAGCATCTCCAAGGGAGATGTCAAATATCAAACATCAAATTTAATTTTGATGGTTGATGTAGCAATTTGACATCTTACACAGCTTTACACTCCACCCGATATGTCAAATTAAATTATTATTTTATTACATTTTAGTGTTGATTTATTTTTTCATTAAAAAGAAAATAAAAAATAATAATAATATATTCATTTGACATCTTGCTTTTGGGATGTCAAAAATAACATCTCAACCTCCAGTCTTCATTCCACATCAGCTTTGACATATTGGTTGGAGTGATGTGAGATGTCATTTCTAGCTGTTAAATGTCTATGTGGCACGTCTGACACATCGGTTGGAGATGCTCTTAGCTGGCATTTTCTTTTTTCTTTGAGATCAACAACAATGATGGAATCTCAGGAAGTGGAATTTGGTCTGTCTCCTAGTGGTTTTTGGCGTTTGGGTTTTTTTCTTCCTTCTTTGTTTTCTATTTTGAGAACTCTTTTTCTCATATTCTTCTTTTTCTACTTTGGCCGGGTTCTGTAGGAAGAATCAACTGAAGAAAAATCCCATGAAAATGATGATGTTTGTTGGGTTAGCTTAATTAGGAATTTACAACTAACTTATTTTGGATTTTTGGGTTTAGGGATTTCTTCTTCTTCCTCTTTATGAGTTTTGGGTTTAGGAATTTACAGACCATGGCTTGATGGTCGGTGACAACATCAGCTTGATTACATGAATTTCCCAATTTGCCCTTAATTTTGACAGAAAATTTAACTCAGTTGACAGAAGGACTAATGATGCAACATAAGATCTAATTAAAACACTACTGTAACAATATTGCTATATAAAAGACAAAAAGTAAAGTCGGGTCTTATTTGAGAAATATCGCTACAATATTGCCTTAAAAAGTAAGTACTAATTCACACAGAAGCAACAAAATCTTTGACTTGGGAAAGGAGCTGGTTGGATTCTGGCAATTCCGGAAACACATAGAAGGCATGGACACTGTTTGGATACTCGATTAGCTTAGCCTCTTTCCCGGATTTCTTCAACCACTGATAGTACCTCTTCTGCCAGTCCAGCAGCGGGTCGAATCCCCCGACGAACACAAGCGTGCTCGGATAATCCAGACCCGATATGTCCACCGCGTTGGGCCCAGTCACGTTCGCAGCTTCGTGGTCCCGATTCGACCCGTCCGGCAAAAACGCCTTCCAAATCCAGTCGGTTCGGGTTATCGACACCAGAGGCGCTCCGTGGAGTCGGATCTCCGACTCGACCCGGCCCTCTCCTCCGAAAAATGGTTGTATCGAGATCAACCCAACCGGTTTCACTACCCGAAACCTGTCCTTCTCGCGAGCGGCCCGAACCGCCACGTGGTGGGCCACGTTGGCTCCGGCGCTGTCCCCGGCTAAGAAGCACCGGGATCTGTCTGCGTTTTTGGGGAGTACGTCGTCGTTTTGGTCGAGGAAGGTGAGGACGTCGAATCCGTCGCAAGGGTAGGGATGCTCGGGGCAGAGGCGGTAGTTGATGTTGACGACGACGGCGGGGATTTTGCGGGCGAATTTCCGCGCAACGGTGTCGTACGCGAATGAGGCCGGGCTGAGGTAGCTGAAGCCACCACCGTGGAAGAAAACGACGACAGGCAGGAAGGAGGAGGAGGAGGGAGACGACGTCGTATCGGGGACGAAGAGACGGAACCAGAGGTGGCGAGTGGAATCCACAGTGACGTCAGAGGTGGTGACGCCTTTGACTGGAGCAGTAGGGGTGGCTGAGGACTTGAAGTCGATGAAGCTGAGGAGACGGCGGTTGATGGTGCCGTCAGCGCGGCGAGCATGGTCCGTTAGTTTTGACAGAACCGATATCGACAGGCGGGTCTTCCACGGAAGAGAAGCCCATGCAGATGCGGCGGGTTGGGAATTCGAACTAGACGACGTCGTCATGGATGCCACCAAAACCAATCGATCGCCAATGGAAGGAGATTTTCTGCTGGTTTTGTTTTTGTGGTAGATGAGTGAGAGGGAATAAAGTGCATGCAGCAACCAAGCCAACTAACAACTCCAAAGCTGTCAAAGCGGGGTCCCCATTTTTATCTGTCGTTTTTACTATTGTGTTGTCGTATGAGTATTGAATGGGAGTAGGTATTAGGTTGAGCTACTCGCGTTTTATTAGTTACGCAGATCATTTATGGTCAAAGTTTCCTGGCACTCGTTTGGTAGCTCCGCTTGAACGCGATTGCAGTTGAATTTGGTTGGTACCGCAATGGGAATTGGGGACTTCCATATTTTTGTATTTCTTTCACGTTATGTAGGTAGGGTCCATTGCAAGATTGAGTGTTCATTTGATAGATTTTTCAAACTTGTTGGTTCAAGTCTGATGACAAAATGCTCATCGGGTATAGAGGAACTCGCCTAATCCCTTAGGTTAGAATCCGATTTTTATACTTATTTAAGAGTGGTGATTTCTCCACTCCTTTTTCTGCTATTTTATCCACTTACACTCCTTTTTTATAACTAAAAAAGAAGTGTAAGTGGATAAAATATGAGTGGGGAAATCACTTCCCTTATTTAATCCTTATACATCAATTAAATGCTATTGCCTTTGACCCAAAAAAAAAAAATGAATAGATTGATATATACAATTATTAAAGATTAATAATGGGCGTATGTGGTGTTGATTGGAGAGCAACATAGTTGAGGAGACCAAAATAGAGAAAAATAATAATTGAAAAACGACTGATTATATTGTAGAGAGAATGAGAGAATTAAGTTAATGTGTTTATTATTTAAAAAAATTAAAAATTAAAAACATTGGAGTAAGAGGACCGAGTATGATTTGCTGCATCAGGCATGATTTTAGTTGGACAAGGTAGCAATGCATCGAGGTTTTTAAAGATTATTGGCACATACGTACTCACAGTGAAGAGTTTATTTGAGGGGTTCAATACTACCATCAACAAATATGAGAAAATCAATGGACTTGAACATTCTTATCACACCCCAATTATTATTATTATTTATTATTATTTGGGAATGTGAGGTAAAAGAAAAACTAAAACTAAAAATTTAATTATCAAGAAACATGAAGATTGAACGTAAACTTCCATTTAAGTCAAAGTAATTTACATTGTATTATTACAAGCAAAATAACAAGAAAGTAACAAACTTTCAACAAAATACTCAAAACTATCCATAATCCATTCTTCTTGTCCTCAACAAAAACTACACTTCAGTTTCAAAGCCTGCAATAGATTCAATAAGGGGTGAGCATTACATGCTCAGTAGGGGTCTGATGCCTTAAGTGATTAGTGAGATTTATAATGTACAATTTATACAATGCATGAATGAACTTGAATTCTACCCAACTCATTAATCTATATAATAGGGCAAGCAAATCTGCATGTCCCATACCATACATTTTACCACTGTGATTTCGAATGCCCCATTATATAAACTAACACCCATTTCAATCATCCCATAATTCCCCTTTTGCTAGTCATCTTGTCTACACCATTGATCTCCAAGCTCAAATCACCCAATCGACAATTATACCGCCGATTTCCAAATCTACTGTGCACACGGGCTCGCCTGAACTTGGTCCCTACAATGGTTAGACTCAACTACACAAAAGCTACTTCCCATTATCCTCTTTTCCATAATTTCTTTATCAACCCAAAAATTCCAACCACCACCGACAACATATGAATATGTCAAAATTCATCAAATTATAATGATAATTGACAACATGTATACATCTAATATCAAGGATAACAATCAAACAATATAACCAAGCATAACAACAATCAAATATTATCAAGCCTAATGTAGTATTTACAATATTTAAATAACTCAATGTATGCAAAACAAAACGTCCCCAAGAAAAACCCCTACCTCAAATCCAAAGCTTATTGTACATTTCCCAGTTAAGCTTTTTCCAAAATCTCACCACACTTCACTCTTTCTTTATTCTGTCTAAGCTTTTTAGGAGACTAACACACTTGAAGTACCTATGATCAAAGAACTATTGAGTAGACCTATTTATAGTAAGCTAGAGTCGGTTAGATGAAGCTTAATGTTGTGCCACCTAATTAGTCTATAGGTTCCTAGACTCTCAAATAGCCTTTTGTGTTGGCTTTGTAGAGTGCTTAGTGAGCACTCTCCTATCAAGTTTATATATATTGGAATAACCATCATTCTTACACCTCATGCTTTAATTTGTTTTGAGGACACTACATTGCAACACGTCAGTCTTCAACAATGCTTAGTAAGCATAAATGTCTTTCTAACAGTTTTTTTTTGTAAAGTATATATATATATATATATATCTATATATAATAATAATAATAAATAATAATAATTGGGGTGTGATATTCTGTTTCTGCAACACCTGTTTGGATTGTTACCTTGTGGTTTATAGTTTTCAATTCGGAGAGGAGTAGAAGTTTGAGCGCTAAATTGGCTGAAAAAATAAAATCGAGAAAGGAGGTGGTGCGGAAGTCCAACTAGCGTGATAATTCAAGAGAAAAACTGCATTTCCCTTTCTTTCTTTGTTTTTTAAATCTCACTCTCTATTTGATTAGTTAATAATGAGTGAGATAAAGAGAATGATGCATTGCACCCGTGCCATGATAATTTTTCTCCTTTACACATGAATCAAGTGGTGCTTTACATTTTAAGATAAAGTAAAAGATCCTCATAAATCATAACAAAATAAAAAATATAAAAAATTAAATATTTTTTAAAAATAATAATAAATAAATAAATAAAAAGAAGAAGAAGAAGAAATAAGGGCAGGGTAGCCAAGGCCAATGAACAAGAGGGAATGTAGACAAGGATGTGGTGAAGTAGGCATGAAAATCCTAAACCAAACACGGTGTGAGCAGCTTTGAGAGGCTCCAAACCAATCCACTTTTATCGAACCCACAACACAAGTTGCATTCCCCAACTCCAATCCCCATGACGTGTGACTCCTATCCCCTCTGCCATTTATACATACGTGACCTCCATACACATCCCACAATTCTTTTCTCATATATACACATACATATATATATATATATATAAATAAAACGACAATTGCTCCTCCTAAAGCCTCATAAACAATTCCAACCTTTTCTTCACCATCTCATATTTCTCTATTTTCTCTTGTTTGGATATCATGGAAGGTGATAACATGAGAGCCTTTGACATGGGTACACTCAGAACAAGTCTTCCACAAAAGTAAGAACACAAATTTTGTTTATTCTCTGGCTCTCTTTCTTTCCTTTCTTTGATTTTGCATTTTCTATAATCTTTCGGGTTTCTCGACGGAATATTTGCGAATGCAAATTATTAATGTCACACGCAATGCACTAGACGTGCATAGATTTTGTAGTTAGGTTTTAAAAATTTTGTTGAGAATATTAGGAATAGATGTGACAATAGTGCTACTGTTTATATTGTGTGAATAATTGATTGCAACGGGTACATGTTTGTTTTCTCAGCAGGAGATCTGGGTTGTCAAGGTACTACTCCGGCAAATCAAGATCATTTACGTGCATGGACGACGTTAGAAGTGTGGAAGATCTTAAGAAACCGGAACATCCCGATGCTAAGAAGAGGAAGAAACATTCGGAGAGGAAGAACTTTCCGGTTCCGACCTACCCTCCTTATCCATGTCGAAGAGTTTCTAGCACCACCCAATGTGCTGCACCTTGCGTTGGTGTGTGAATATATAAATCTAACTGAAAAAAAAATTATGGAAAAGCACAATAACATATTCTTTTTTGCAATATTTTGCTGCTTTCCCAAATCTCAAAAGATGTCGACTTCGAATTCCATTCTTAGGAATTTTGTGGTTTTTGGAGGATCTAGCTACGGGAGAGCAAGGAAGAGAGAGCTTTCTTTTCTCCCAAATTGTGTAAATAATTTAAGTGATTAAACGTACATGTATTAGATTTTATTTTTTGTTATTATTATTATTATTATTATTATTATTATTACTATTATTATTATGATTATTATTATTTTGGTTTTGGTGTAATCCATGTGATGAAATAAGACAATTCAAATATCTAAAGGACTCATATTTTGGGAATAAATATTTTACCACTACTGGTAAAAAGCTTTACCATATTTTAAATAAATTTAAAACAAAATTTTAAGGGCTCGTTTAGCAACAAATATTTCTTTAATTTTTTTTATCAAAAAAAATGTCACAAGATACTTGTTTATTCCACAGCATGATTATGTTATGTCTAACTAACAGAAAGGAAGGAACATAAGTTTGATTAACGATAGAGGCAAGATACTTCTTTGATAAACTGCCATTACAGTGTCAAAGAAAATTCTAGTATAAACCAATAGGTTAGATGTACTATCTATACTCGATTACAAACATCCTTTTGCAAAATATTCTGTATTTGTTTATTTTGCTAAGAACAAGTATGGTGAGATGTTGGAGAAAACTGAAACTTAATACTCATTCTTTTGGGGATCAAGGGAGCTTTTTTTGGCTCAATAATTTTTTTATTAATTATTGAGGTGGCTATCAGGCATTACTACAGTTTAATAATGCATCTAAAACACGTGAAAATTACAGAAACGGCCATTACAACATCCCAATTGTCCCACTTCGGGGACTAAATCTGGCTGGTCATCCTTTCTATCACAAATTCCGGTTAACTATCTTTTCCGCTCATCAATTTCGGTTAGTCATCTCTAGCCAAGGCCAATAATTGTGAGTGGCGGATTAACAAAGGGACAAAAGGAGACATGCAACCCCATAGACAGTGGCGGACAATTAGAAGAGCAAAGAGGTACATATGCACCTCTCTTCATTGAAAAATGCATTGAAGATACCGAAATTTGCCCCTTGCTTGTGCCCACCAAGTGTTCAATAAAAAGCCTTAAAGAGGTTGTTCTGTTGCTGTTGTGTGAGACCTTGAATATTTACCTTCCATTATTGGGATCAATCTTACGATCATGCAGGAGAAAACGGTTCATCAATTGGACATCCACAACCAAAGTTATAAATTTGAGAAGATTTTGAAAAAAAATCACTTAAGTTGCAAACCAAAGTGGATGATTGGACTTGTTTGTAGTTAGAATCTCGTGCTTTTTAACTTTAATTTCTTTCTAATATGGTCCACTATCAAGATGTCATATGTCAAATTTTAACTAGATCAACTTTAAAATTCATTAAAAATGCATCTATACTCCAAAAAATTCACTGAAAATTACCCTGAACTCGTAATCACATGCACTTTTATCTCGTGACCTCCAAATTATATGTAATTTGGGTTAGATTAATTGGTATTGATTTTGGTTAGATTAATGGATGATTTCATGTGAATTTTGGTAGACTAATTGTGTAATTGGCATGCATTATGTTCGTATTTGATATGAATTTTGGTAAATAATTGTGTAAAATGAATTTTGTGCATATTAATTGATATACAAAATAGACTATGGGCAATTAGTCTTTGACGTAAAATTCTTATTTATTTTAATTATGAATAACATTAGTACTGTTTAAATTGTAAAGCTATTTGGTTGCATTTTTTAACCTTTTAACCTTTTTAACATTGCGCCTTCTTTAAAAAATTCATAGATCCACCATTATCTATGGAGGCCGAAAATCTGACTGTGCATGCGACCCCTTGGAAGCTTTGGTGGGCAACCAAACTTCCTTCGTTTGTCTTTATAAAAATAAAATACAAAAGTTTTTATTCTCACCCCTAGCCCAACAAGAAGCCCGCATTTCCCCCTAAAAGTCCCTAAAATCCCTGATTCTCTCAACCTAACCTCGTCAAACCCTAACCCCCAAATCCCCACATGTTGCCGAGGTGTTGCCACTGTCGTCGGACTTCTAGCACCGTCCACCACTTGTTGATCAGGTGGTTATGGTTTTTCGTTTTGGCTAATTGTTCTGGATTTTTCTTTTGTTTAATTGGTATAGGTTTGGTTCGAAATTTTACAAATTTTTATTAGGAATGAATAAAGAATTCTACAAAGGATACCTTCAGTCTCAGAAACCCAATATCAAAGCTGAATTTAAAATCATCCAAAAGCATAAACTAAAAAAGATGATATCTAAAAAGAGGGATTTACTATTATGCCAATATAGGGGCCCAACTTATAAAAAAAATTTATATGAAATTGACTTTAGAAACACCCAAAACTCATTTATGACATAACAAAGAGACTTCGAACTTCCTATAAATTACAAAACTATCATCGATTTCTTAAAACAAGCCTAACCCCAAAACCTCATATTAAAAACTCAAAACACTCAACATGTCATCAAAGTAATTTAATAATCAAAATTAAATTCAACAAAGCAAGCTATCATTTTTTGGATTTGTTTATAGAAATTAAATGGTGTATAATTTATTTATATCATTAGTGCTAAGAATTGGTATATAACTAAATATCTAAAATAAAGAATACAGCAATGAAATTTCCTAATTTAGTAATAGTATTCGTACCAAACATCTAAGTTTCATACCCATTAACAAAATCAAAGCCACCAAAAAAAAAATTGTTCAATTTCATACATCATTCAAACTGTCGATTTTATCGTTAGCAGGTTTCGCAACCAACAGAGAGTTCGAGAATGCTTGCAATGGCCGACAAAGTCACTCATGTATATTATCATGCAATGTACAAAGTGTAAAAGTAAATCATTATAAATCAGTTACATATTTTCTACACTCACAGTGTTTGTCAAATCGCTATATAATCAACTTAAATCAGTTAAACTCATTATGCAATGCATTTCTTTCTTCTTCTTTTTTGTGATAAAGTAATAGATAATTAACTAAATAAACAACCTCCAAAATTTCAATAAAAAATTCTAAATTTTTCTTACAATTTTCGTGATTTTTATTCAATTTTTATCAATATTGATAATTTGCCGATATTTCCATCAAAATTTCCGTGTTTTTGGACCACCGATATTTTCAAAATTATCGATTTTTAGACCTTTCTTCAACGTAACCCTGTAACAAAAGAAAAAAGAAAGAACAGTAATTGATGGGTCGTTAGCATCCAGGGCCTATATTGGCACATGAAGTCTGTCCCCACAAAGAGGTGTAGATCCATAACACTTGTTTGCATGTGAGATCAAATGCCAGTGCGAATAAAAACTGGCCATCAAATTACAGGCCCTGTATTGCAGATCAATCCATCATTCTTAATCGGTATAATTGGTTTTACTTTCATTTAACTAAAGCAAATAAGAGCTAAAGTATTTTGCTGGTTATCAGAACTCGATCCTGCAAATTTTCCAGATGCATATGAGTCCATATAAATAGAGAGAACTCTGTGTTAAAGCTAATTTCAAAATGGCCATAAAGAAGCTTTGAAATTCAGGGGCACTTGTTTGGTCACTGATGTCATTTCAGGTCCGTTCCTAAGTTATGGCTCTCCTCATGTTACACTGCTAAAACTGTGTCAACTAAGTTAGGAAGAATACACATTACACTTACACCCAAAAAAAAAAGGGGGACCAAACGACAATTTTAATTTGTACCAGCTCTACCTAATAAATAGCAATTATGAGCCCGCCAAAAGAATCAATGCTTCTCACTAGTGGTACAAAATTAGGACTGAGGCCTCCACATGGAATCCAAGGAAGAATTATTGCATTCTTTTCTTCTTGTTGGGGACCGAATCCCAATTATCAAATATCATAAGCTCATCATCATCATCAAGAACTTGCAACTTATCAGGATTTCTTGTATCGCCATCAACACTTGATAAATCTGGATCGACCGCCTCGGAAACCTCGGACAGCCTTCTTTTCTTTTCAGGAGGAATTTCAATCTCATCATTCTTTTCAGCCTCCACTGGAGGCTCATTTGATGTGCTTCCAGCATTTGCAATAGACTCATTGTCATCCTTTACCACTGAGGGAGCTTGAGTCCACCCAGAGAGAACCATTCCATCGGGCTCCTTCTCCTCATCAAATTCCTCTCTGTGAGAAATCAAACTTACATATATAAATTATGTAGCTTACATGATAAAAACAGAGAAAATAACACCAACTCCCCAATCCCATAAGAAAAGAAGACAAAAAGGGGACAAATCAGCAACTAGAATGAGGAAACTGCTTCATATAACATCAATAGACAACCAACTTGGTTGGGTTCGGAGGGGGTGGGGGAGCCAAACATAGGGGGGAAATTGCAGGATGAAGGGCATTAATTTCAACTAATAAAGTTTCTGATTGCTTATTCTATCATAAAAAAGATTTCAACTTCTACAGCTACGTGAAGATTTCTGCAACCCACAACAGGAAAACTAGCAAATCCAGATGCTCAAGCCATCCATAACGTTGTATAACTAATAGATGCTAAGAAGCAATCTTAATGTTATATACATAAACTGGATAAAGAAGAACCTGTGCTTAATATTGATCTGGCATGATAGTTCTTGCTGAAGATCCTCAATTGTCAGCATGGTTCCACTGGTAACTGGAGTAGGAAGCTCAGACAGCACCTACGTGAAAAACATTAACCCACATAAACAAGAGACATATATCAGGTGAAAACAAATTAGCAAGTCATCTTGAAACAGAGGAAAAGAATTACCTTATCAAGGTTTGCTGCATAATTTGCAACCATTTCTTCATCCAGGTCATCACCAACTTCATAAAGAAGGGCTGACCCATGCATAATGAGTGGCAAGCTCATCCCAAGCGTGGCTTTAACTATCTTTTCTACGAAGTCCCGCAACTTAGCACGATGAGTATTGATCTCTAGAGATAATGGTGTCTGCTTGCAATCATATTGCATTAGCGTCACAATTATACTTTAAATGTCAGCAAAAAGATCCCCACAAAGATGGAATTTAGAAGAGATCATTGAATATACCTCCGAACAGACATAGCAAGACCGGTTAGGCTCAAATGGTTCCACTGGCATGAGCAACATTTTTCTTGTTGGATGTTCCAGACAATAAGTCATCCTACATAGCCATTCAGATCAGAGTAGAA